AGTCAAGATGTTAAAAACACTAGGGGTTCGGACCACTTTTGGAGGCTCAGATGTCGTTTCGCGTGGCAGGCGCACGAGGGTTGTGGATCTTGTCAAAAGTGAGCAAAACATGAGGGTTTTGCAGCATTTCGACAAAAGATGGCAGGCATGGGACATTTGAAGATGATCTGCAAAGACGCATTTTTCGTGGCAGGCGCAGTACAAAAGACATGTTCATGAGAGAGGTTGGGAGGTCAGGGCGCTGATTTCCTGAGAGGGGTTACATTTTGGAGTATCAGAAGTGTAGGTTTGCTAAGATGATTTTGCATGTTCATGAGAGAGGTTGGGAGGTCAGGGCGCTGATTTCCTGAGAGGGGTTACATTTTGGAGTATCAGAAGTGTAGGTTTGCTAAGATGATTTTGCGCAGCCGCATACTTTTAGTATAGGTGGGGCAGAAAAAATCGCCAGACGAAATTGGCACGAGGTGTGAGTGCAGCACTGATCTTTCCATTTTGGAGGAGGAAGTTTGCAGGAAGTGGTTCGTCTTGATGTTGCAACTTAAGTCTCGCAAGATTGTGGGTTGCATCAAGCTGTCAAGAAAAAACAGGTTAGATAGACAGAACAGACAGACAGACAGACAGAGAGATAGATAGATAGATTTAGATAGATAGATAGACAGACAGCACAGAATCGATAGATAGATAGACAGTATGATAGATTACATAGATAGATGGACAGATAGACAGAGAGAGACATAGCCAGAGAGACAGCGAGAGGGGAAAGAGATGGAGAGTAGCCCGATAGTACATAGACACATGAGATCAGATAGTTAGATACCAAGACAAATAGAGAAATAGATGGGTAGAGACATAGCCAGGTAGATAGACAGATAGACAGACAGACAGAGAGAGAGAGAGATAGATAGATAGATAGATAGATATATATATAGAGAATTTGATCGATAGATAGACAGATAGACAGATAGATAGAGAGATAGTTAGATCGATGGATAGATAAAAATTGATAGATACACAGACATATAGATAGATTGATCGACAGATGCATCGACAAATAAACGTGGGATGCAGCAGAGAGGAGCTCCACACTAGTATTGGGATCCCTTTTTTCTGTAGATAGATGGCGAAAGAGAGACACAGAGAGAAAGAGAAAAAGAGAGACAGAAAGGCAGAAACACTCAACCACCTTTCAATCCATCAGTGGATTCGCTCTGCCATTTTTGCGCCACACCAACTCACCTCTCCTATAGGTTTTCCATTTTTGAAACTTCCGCCACCGCCTTGTGCGGTACTATACTGGTATATATAATTATATATTATATTATTAGAACTAGATTTTGAAAATGCATACATACATGCACACCCATATTTACATCCGTTTGTATATAATTACATTTCAAGGCTTCTGCCTGACAGCCAGCCACCGGCCAATATGATCTTGTGAAATCTGATCTAGTCAGATCATATAGTAATAGATCTTTATCTTATCATACCTTGTTTTTCCAGAATCTTATCAAACTTGTCAGGTATCATTTTGTGACATCTCATCAAAATATAATCCGGACATAAAAAATAAGGTTGTGTTCGTTTAATTTACGCATACATAATCACATACAGTACGTATATACTCTTACATTATATTACATAGATATGTAGATACACACATAGTTTTCCTAACTGTATTGTTTACATCTCAGTCCTTTTCAAGAAACCATATTCACATTTATACAGTTTTTGATAGTACCATTTTTTCTGCTGATTTGTTCCAGGGGTTTTATCGATGCAGTGCTTTGGGAGGTGATAGACTTCATTTTGATGACATTTTTTCGTCTACATAAACCCAACGACCAGCCTAGAATGGTTTACTAAACAGTATAGTTCCTTGAAGGAGAATTAAAGGTATTACCGTTGTTAATTTAAATTCCTTCAAGGAAAATGCTGCTTACTGCTTGCTGTACCTTTTGAGGTCACCAAACGCCACTCTTGCTTGTAGTGCATCCAGATATAATATATATAAATATAAATATATATATATATATAAATGTTTGTGGCCACAGGCTATCAAACCACCAGCACCACCAGCACCACCAGCATTAGCACCAGCACCAGCACCAGCAACACCAGCACCAGCAGCACCAGCAGCACCAGCAGCACCAGCAGCACCAGCAGCACCAGCAGCACCAGCAGCACCAGCAGCACCAGCAGCACCAGCAGCACCAGGGCTCGTACCTCGCTTGTGGCGGTGAGATGCGCCGATCGCTTGTGGCAGTGAGATTGTTCATTTTTGGTTCATTTTTTGACTGCCGCAAGCGATCTTTTTTAAACTGCCGTGAGTGAGTGATGTTTTTGCGTGGCAGGTGCAGCATTTCAAGGCCTGATCGCTTGTGGCGGTAAGATTGCGACGACCATTTTTAGATCGCTTGTGGCGGTAACAAAATGTCGCTTGTGGGGGTAAGTGGGTGTCCTTGATGCCAGGGTATATAAAACCAATCGCTTGTGGCAGTAAGATGCTTTACAGCATTTGCGCACATACTTGTCTTCTATCCCTGTGATTTCTAGACTCTAGACATTGACTGGAACCATTGCAACGCCGAATTACAGGAGGTTTATGTTATCCAGGTGGAATTTCAGTTTTGCTGTGTTTTTCGTGTCTTTTCGTTTTGCATTTGGGTATATATAATGCGACGGTTGCTATAGTGGTAATAGATATCGTTGCGATCCGGTCATGTTAAGATATACATATAACGGCGCGACCGCGACTAGATTTTTAGCTGTGAAGCGAACGTGTATTTCCATGGACGGATTTAGGGCTTCGGGTGGAAACTTTACTTACATAGCTAGCACATCATTATTAACTTTCTCCTCCTCCTCCTGCTCATCATCATTAGCATCATCATCATCATCATCTTCTTCTTCTTCTTCTTCGTCGTTACATTTTCATGTATGCTCTAGTACTTTTGGTACTTCCTCGAAAGTGTTTGGGGCCTCTTGCTAATACATTGTCCTTGTTTGTTACATGTGGAATTGCCCGTGTTGCAAGAATCTTATGAATGGATTTATGGAAGCAGTTGTGCATGATAATTTGGATTGTCAGCAATGGAGTCTCATCCATCTCTTTCTTTTTGTTAATCCTTACAACTTTCCAGCTGGGTTTCGGCCACGGTTCAGACAGCAGTTCTTTCCTTAGTGTGCCGTTTCCCACCCCACTCCACCCCAGCAGTAACTGATGATGAAAGAGCAGTGCCTGTTGCCGTGCCTGTGTGTGTGCAGGAACATGAACGTTAATATCCCACCCCAACCCACCCCACCCCACCCCACCCCACCCCAGCAGAAACTGATGAAAGACCACCCGCCTGTTCCCGTGCTGTGGTGTACTGGAACATGAATGTTATATCCACCCCACCACACCCCACCCACCACACACCCCCACCCCCACCCCACCCCACCCCCACCCCAGCAGTAATTGATGATGAAAGACCATGCCTGTTGCCGTGCCTGTGTGTGTATGGGAACATGAACGTATTATCCCCCCCACCTCCACCCCACCCCACACCCACCCAACCACCACCACAACCAACCCCAGCAGCAAATGATGATGAAAGACACGCCTGTTGCAGAGCTGTGTGTGTACAGGAACATGAACGTTATTGTCCCACCCCACCCCACCACACCCCCACCCAACACAAGCAGCAACTGATGATGGAAAGACAACTGCCTGTTCCGTTGCTGTGTGTGTACTGAAAACATGAAGTATTTACACCACCCCACCCCACCCCACCCCACCCCAGCAGTAACTGATGATGAAAGAGCAGTGCCTGTTGCCGCGCCTGTGTGTGTACAGGAACATGAACGTTATTATCCCACCCCACCCCACCCCACCCCAGCAGTAGCTGATGATGAAAGAGCAGTGCCTGTTGCCGTGCCTGTGTGTGTACAGGAACATGAACGTTATTATCCCACCCCACCCCACCCCACCCCACCCAGCAATAACTGATGATGAAAGACCACCGCCTGTTGCCGTGCCTGTGTGTGTACAGGAACATGAACTTTATTATCCTACCCCACCCCACCCCAGCAGTAATACGAATGTTCCGTAATCTCACTGCCGCAAATGATCGGTTTGTAACGTCTGATAAGAGTGTCACTGCCGCAAGTGATGCAGTCTTACTGCCGCAAGTGATTGGAAAATCTCACTGCCGCAAGTGATCCAAACTCACTGCCGCAAGTGAGGGTTGAGCCAGCACCAGCAGCACCAGCAGCACCAGCAGCACCAGCAGCACCAGCAGCACCAGCAGCACCAGCACCACCATCATCATCATCATCATCATCACCACCACCACCGCTGCTTAGCAAACTTTGTACTGCAGTTCGTTCACGCCTCCCCAAGTGGGCTGCAAGTATGGACCTTTCGAATGGAGATATGGAACCCGTCAGCGAGACAGACCAATGTAAAGTTCTTCCCATTTTTTTCAACCAAAGCTGATGACCCGCGCCACCATTGCAATGTAAGGAAATCTTCAGCTTTATATGAAGGTCTATTCAATGCGATTCAGTGCAATTCGATGCGATTCAATGCACAAGGAGTATATTGATGATGCCTGCGTTGAGTGGGAACAAATGCAGTCTGCAGATCAATGCGAGCAAAATCACACAGGCCAATTTTGTTTACATTTCTGAGGAAGGTTGTCCTGGTGTTTCTTCTCCTTTGCTGGACAGCCTCAAGCTAGCTGTCACCATACACAAGGACGGAGCAATAAATAGTCATCGATCAACAACAGGTGAATCGAGTCACCGGGCCACGCAAAAAGAACTCATAAGTTTGCACTTGATGGCTGCAGAAGACCACGCATGGCCACCAGCCCAGTGTTGGTGGACACAAGAGTAACGTAACATTTTTGCTCAAATTGACTGTGAAACTCGCGCTTTGCAAAGATCCTATCAATTGCTGCAACCACTCACATGCAACAAACATTCTCTAGAGAATGAGTTGCACTAGTGCAGTCCTTTCTTTTGGTACACCAGTACAAACCTAGGTTCACACATAAAACCATCAAACACTCTTTGGCGTTTTGTTGCGCCGCAGCGCAGTAGACGTGGGCGTGCCCGGAATTTTGCTGGAGGCAGCTCCGAAGAGATGAACGGCATGCGACATGCATCATGCAGATAGTAATGCAAATAGTATGGTATTGTGTATATTGCATATGAATGTATATGAGTGCAGTGTATATGAAACAATCATTGGGTTTGCAGTTCGCCAACGCACCGTCAAAATAAACTACATGAGGCTTGGGACTGGGGAAATTGGAGGGACAGGGTTGATATAACTGAGCAGTCCACTGCCTGAGGGATGCAATGAGTGCGTGGATGCTTGACACGAGTTCAGCTGTGGCTGGTTGACTGTGTGGATGCCACAAGGGCACTGGTGAGCAATTCATATTACGAAAACAATACATTCAAGAAATCGTTTCAATCTGCGGTGTGGACTGTACACATAGTGCACCCCTGCACACACACATGGCTGCATGGTGCCTCTTTCTGTGTGGGGACCATTGATAAATGATATATGGGAAATGATCCTTGCGACATCGAGTGTTTCGTTAATACGTGGACCTTGCGCTTTAATGGGTCCAGACGCATGCAGAGGCACGCTACGCTTGTGAGCACGCTCCGGCTGAAGCTCTTGAAGTCAAGGCTGGGTGCCACCGCTGACTGCCTCGGGTGACGGGGTGGAAAGGTCCCAAAGTTCACAGGTCTCCGCCACTGTTTGGCGCCCCAACTGGTCAAACTTCAAAGGATGGGAAGTTGCCAATGATGTATAGCTTTGTAAGTTTGTTTGGGATTGTTTGGGGTTGTCATGTTTCCTTTGTCTTTTAAACGAACAGACTAATTAGGCATTTGATGCTTTTTGAATCATAATTATTTCTTAAGTACCAACAATGGATGATCTGGGAATATATTGATGGTGGCGCTTGACACGGAATCAACTTGGAATGCCACCACATTATGAAATACAAAGTGCGGTAATCCTCGGCCTCTTTTCAGCCTCTCCTTCAAAAGCACATCATTGCTAAGCAGTGTAGAGCCTACAATTTTGGGAAGCATTATAGGTTATCTTTTGCTTTCAAAGTAAGACTGGGATCAGCATTGATGTGCATATGTGGCAGATTTTGTGTTCGCATGTTTGTGTGATTGCTGGCATTTTCATTCCGCCTTTCACTTTCGTTGTCATCATCGCCATCATGGCCTGTGATGGCTGGCGAAAATTTGTCAATGACCCGCAACCCAAACTGGAGCGACTCGACATACCACAGCCCCAGCTAAGTGTCAGGGGTGTTCAGAGGGTCCCCCGCCAATGAGTGAGAGTTTTTGGAGCCCCAATTTTGCAATGATGCACTTGGACACAAGCATCCTTCCTCAACAGGGCTGAATTTTGTGCAGTCTGGTAGAAGTTGAGGGCATACAGCTACTGGCTTTAGGTGCGGGGTGTCTTGCAAGGCGATCTGGTTGGCCCAATGTGTGTCTGAAGGATGACAGTTGGTGCGAACCAGCCATGTTGCAAGGTAGAATCGTCGTTGCAGAAGGGAAGCTAGCTTTGGCTCGCAACTGGCAGGACATGGCCAAGTGTTCATGTGTGCTGTTGGGGCTGTTGGACAGTTTAAAACAAAACCCAAAATATGTTTCTTTGGACACGTTTGTGGATGAGGTCATTTACTTCTGATCGAAACCTCATGTTTTGCAGATGCGTGTAGTGCATGTGAGAGAAACGAGCAAGAAAGATGTAACCAAGTTTTCTGCCATTCATTTGTTGCTTTGTTTCCACACCAGAGGTTGTGTCGCATGGGGTGTGCATTCCTGCTTTCTGTCATCGTCCTTTCTGCCAGGACTCTCAGATGGAGTTCCACCAGTTCAATCTCACCATGTTTGAAGCATTGGGGAAGTTGCAGGCGAGGGCGGACAGGTGATGCGTTTTGATGCCTAGGAGAGGTCCAAAGATGTCCGCGGCAGTCGCGCGGCATGCGGGCTGCATGGGTTGTGGAGAGACATGGAGACAAATCTTGCACAAAGGGGTTGAACATTGAAATATATTGAACATGCCGGAGAAACGTCTCGAATTGCCAGGTACATGACAATTTTCATTTGGTTTGGAGATGCGTAGGTTTTGCACGGGCTACCATGTGAGAAACACTCGGAGGCTGAGGTTCTTGAAGGTGTTTCTTGTGCGTTTGGTCTCAGATTTTCAGCCCGCTTCCCCAGTTGCCAAAGGAACCCACCATGCCACGGGACTTCCTGGGCACCCAAGGCATGGAGTCGCCGCCAATGGGATTTGTGTTTTTCTCTATGTTTTTTCTGACTGCAGTCGAAGAGATTTGGAATCTTGGAAGCATACCAATGAACCAATGCGAAAAAAACATTTCTGGAAACACGCTGTTCATTCTATGCCATCCGGTTGCGAGATCACCTTTGGATGGATGTCATCTTGGGGTCACAACTCGGCTTTACCAATTTGGTTTGAGTTGGGATGAGAATCCATAGGTGGGCTTCAGTTAGTTTGAACGTTTCTCTAAACTTCAAACCTGTTGCTTTCTCCTGGGAAGTGCTGGCCCAGGTGGCCCACTTGTACCACTTGGCATCGGCTCTGTCCGGCAGCCGCGGAAGTCAAGGCTGGGCGCGGCCACTGTCCATAGTTTGAGATGTGAGAAGGTCTGAGATCTCAATGCCAGGACTTTTTCTTCATGGATTCAAACCCACCCATCATTCTGGCCGCTTGGCCTGGACCAAAACTGAATCAGGAGACGTTTCAACATGACCCCGGTGCGAGATTTTTCTGGATGGTGACCCCTAAATTTCCATAAATTTCCTAAAGATATGGTTGGAAATCGGGTTCTTCCCCATATAGCTGGTGACTTTCCTATCATTTCCCATTTTCACCCTCCGAAAGGGATGGAGAGGTGCCTGCAAGAAGAAGTCAGGGAATAAAAACTGGATTTAAAGCAGGGGCACACCACCATCCATCTGCCTCACTCTTGAGGTCCCTCAGAATCTTGCAGTCTTGGTTTGATGTTAAGGATGAGCAATGATCAGATCGGGGCCAGTTGGGTTGCATTTTGAGGGCCACCTGAGTTTTAGACATAACTAACTGTAAATATTCAGTCTTCACGTTTCAAAAGGATTCTTAGTGACCTCAACAAGAGAAATGACATGTATGTCGATATAGGCCGAACCCCCAAAGAAATCCACACAAGCACAGCAAACATATCCAAACATGACGAAGCTGGAGCATTGAGATGCATTGAGCAGTATTCTGCATTCCGTGTTTTCACATTCACGTTTGCCAGGCGAAACAGACCTCAGCCACTTCGCCACTTCTGCAAAGGAGCGAGCAAGAAAGGGTAGGGTTTTCAAATGGGAAAGTCAACCGCACAGACGTGTGACGATTTTGGGAGATTCTTGACATTGATGAATTGCTGAAACTTGGCAAGTCGATACAAGTCGTGCACTTGCTGGGTTGATTTGCAATGCATTTGAAGCCAGCAGGTGTGAGGCAGGTAGACTAGCTGTAGATGCATCTTGTGACCATCTGTCTGCGGCCGCCATGTCATTCCGGGATAAGCTGGCCGGGAAAACCCTCAATTTGCAGCAGAAATATGACGCTCAGAGAAAGCAAATGTTGGAGACTTGGCTGGCTGAGATCAAGGTGAGGTTCATCCAAAAATGCGAAGCTGCAGCGGATCGGCGGGAGTTTTGCTGCACAATGTTGGTTATCTTTCCTCACCACCTGAACAAGAGGGGTGTCACTGTCAGTGAAGGCCTCTTGTTGGATCAGATGCAGGACATGTTGGCTGAGTTGGGTTTCCGAGTTCAAGACGGAACGGGAACAGTCAGACCCTTTGACTTCAGAAGAGTTGGCCCCTTCTGTGAGGCTTTCTGTGCAGAGCTGACTGCAGATTGGGGTGATGCAACTTCTAAGCGCCCGGAGATGCGCAAAGAGACAAGCGCCACCTCCGCCGTGTGTCCCATCTGCCGCGACCGTCGCCCAGCCGTGGTCCTGGTGCCCTGCGGACACGTGGTCTGCCGCGACTGCCACCGCTGCCAGCAGCTGAGGCAGTGCCCCATGTGCAGGGAGAGGATCACTTCGGCCACTCGAGGGCTCTTCATGGAGTGAGCGCTGTCGGGAGGTGGTGTTTGGCAGCCTGCTGAGTGCCGTTGTAGTCCTTTGTGGCCCAATCCTTTGCTGAAGAGTGAGCGGATTTGATTTCAAGCATACCTTCCCCAACTTTGTTTTCATTTCTTCCAGAAAGAGCATTTGGGGACTCTAGGGCAAGTTTGGTCTGTAGTGCCAAAAAAAGTGGGAAGGATATGCCTCAATGATCAGCTGCTCTTCCGAAATCATCGGATGCTAGAAAGATTCAGTCCTTTTTAACCATCCGAGTCGATACAAAAGTGGCATTCGACCTTGGCACACTGGTCACATCTGACAAAACAAAAGGTGGGTTCGGGTCCACGCGACAAAACCACCAACGGAAATGGAGGGATTCCACCTTCATTTCTTGGGCTTGCCACCAGGAGTCTCTAGTGGAGCTGCTGGCCTCAGGCCACCGGAAGGCATGGGGCGGGAGCTCATAACTTTTGTTATATGCAGATATGCAGCATCTTTGATCTTACACATATAGTCCCAGTCATTCCAACATATTCCAACATATTCCAACACCTTGCCACTTGCAGTGGCACTTGTCATGGGCACTGGTGACCAATCCAGAGACATGAAAAACTACAGAACCGTCTCAATCCACGGCGTGTGCTGGACACATTGTACCACCACAGACAGCTGAATGGCGAGGAGTGCCGTTTCTACCTATCTGGAACCAGTGATTTCAGAAATGAGCAAAAATAAGTATCCATGGGAAATCAGCTGTTTCGTGATTTTGTGACTTTTAAACAGCAAGTTGGCTTTCCGTGTAGTTGGTCTTTGCGCAGGGGAGGCTGCGCTTGTGACCGCACTCCTGCTGCTTGCTGCTTGGAGCTGTTGAAATCAAGGCTGGGCGTCAATGCTGTTCACCGCTGCAGGAAACCGGGTCGAAAAGTCTCCAAGTTCTCAGGTCTGCGCCACTCATTTTTGGCGCCAAAGCTGGTCTAAGTTCAAGGGACGGGAAGTTGGCAATGATGTATATTTTTGAGATGTTTTGAGTTTCTTTGAGCTTTGTCTGCCACGCTGTCTTTGCTTAAAATGTGGACAAGGGGTGATCAAGAAGGAGTAGAGGGATGGGAACGTGAAAACACTTGTCCTCCTGCCCCAGTGAACCTGGCACCAGGTGAATGTTATCGTGAAAACGAGCAGACCGAAAGAAGTATTTGTTGGGTCACATTCTTAAGTACTACCAATAGATGATCCACCACGAGCAGCCCAGACATGCAAAACGGGACTCACAGGGATGCTGCATGCTATTGGCGGTAAAGAGCACGTTGCATGAAGAAAAGCTGGTGTGACACGAAGTGATGTGATGTCTATATTGCATACATCGTATCTGCTGCGGACGGAAGTTACCCATGTGGATGGTGGTGCCCAGACGGATATCAACAGTTTTGATTTGGAATGCGCATCATATCATCATCCAGCGTCTCTTCAGTCTCTTCTCCACAAGCCGATCACTGCTAAGCTGCGCTGGCTGGCAGTTGTGGGAAACATGATAGGCAAAGTTTGATATACACAAGCAAGAGTGAGATCAGCATTGATTTGCATGTAAGTATTGTGGTTCCTGCAAGTTTCGGGAAACATGGTTGCTAAAGTTTTGTTCCATAAATAAGACCGGGGTCCGCATTGACCCAGCATGTATGATGGCAGATTTGGCGTTCCCATGTTTGAGTGACTTCCTGCATTTTCACTTCGCCTTTGTCAGTTTTCATCGCCATCATGGCCAGGTGGAGCCGGTGTGCACGGGAGCGACTCGACATGCCATGGTCCAACAATGTTTCAGATATGTCCAGAGATTTCCCGCCAACGGGTGAAAGTTCTTTGAGCCCCAAATCCGCCAATTGTCCGTCAACTTCTGAAGCAATCTTCCAAGACGACTGAATACAGTGCAGTCATGTGCAGTTTGGTAGAAGTTGAAAGCATACAGTTACTGACTCAAGGATGCCTTCAGCCCCGCTCCAAGGAGCACTCTTCACTGCAAAGGGAAGCTGGATTTGACCAGACTTGCAGGACACAGCGGAGGGTTCAGGGGCAGTTTTGGACAGTTCAACAAAGGAGGTCTGTGACCAGCGGATTATTGATGAAACTCGATGTCTTTTGCAGCAATTTGCTTGCGTGTTGCTTGCACATGGCTTCTTGCACATGGCTTCACCAGCTGTCTTGCGAAGCATTCTGCCACCAGTAGGTGAGAAGCCCGGTTAAAATCTAGAGTGCGTCCGCGTCCGACCCTGTCTACCATGTCGTTCGCTCAGCAGTTGGGAAGGAACGTTGTCCAAGCCCAGCAGCGGTACGAGATTGAAAGGCAGCAGTACGAGGCCGAGACGCAGCGGCTGCTGCAGCTCTGGGTGGCTAAGATCAAGGAGAAGTTCATGGCGCAATGCGAAGCCGCCTCCCATCGGCGGGAGCTTCGCTGCGCCATGCAGGTGGACTATCCCCGCGACCTGGGGTACAGGGATTCTGTTGACCGAAGCCGCTTGCAGCAGCAGCTCCAGGAAGTTCTGGTGGAGTTGGGCTTTCAAGATGGAAATGTCTCTGCTTTTGGAAGGAGACAGGTGCCTTGCCCTCCCTCAGGCTACAAACGGGTTTGCCAAGCAACTATGTCCGCCAATTGGGCTGCCGACGATTCGACTTCCACCGGCCAGGAGCGGAGCCCCAAAGCCTCGGGCGGGACCTGCGTGACATGTCCCATTTGCCACGAGCACCGCCCAGCCGTGGTCCTGATGCCATGTGGTCACGTGGTGTGCCGCGACTGCCACCGCTGCCAGCAGCTGAGGCAGTGCCCCATGTGCCGCAAGGTGATCACATCGGCCAGCCAAGGGCTCTTCATGGACTGAGCCCTGCTGGGGATTGTTGGTGCACCGGGCTTGGGTATTGCTGGATCTTCTTGGATGCGAGGATCTGGCTTGGCGCATGGAAGTGAAAGGTGCTGCAATTTTGGATCGTTGGTGGCGAGCCTCTCTTTGTCTCAAGCTGGATGGCTTGTTATTTCTGACTGAGAGAAAATTGATGCAAGCTATGATGCGTGCGCAGCCATGAGTGCATGTCCTCTCCCACACGGCATGATTGATACTTATGCTGCATATGCTTGATAAGTCTTGATCAAGACATTTGTTAAAATTAGTACTTCGCAACGCACGAGAACCATCCAAAATCATCCAGAATTCACCTATAGTACTTATTTGGGCAAGACTTCCATGTCCACATTTCACATCGTAAAGTTCATGCATTTGAATTTGGCTTCACAGTGCGTTTAGGAGAGGACTTTAGTTCACGTTCCACTTCCCTCGAAGAGTCTCCACGGCACTGCAGTACACTTGCAGATTTGCCATGCTGACTCACAATCTCACTTCTGATCGGAGCCGGATGCTAGACCTTCTAGCACTCAGGCGGCTTCCGATTCATCCCCTCCAATTGAAAGCCCAGAAATGGCTTGCAGATGCTTGTAGTGAATGTAAGAGAAACGAGCAAGAAAGATGCAACCCTGTTTTCTGCCATTCAGTTGTTGCTTCGTTTCTCCACACCAAGAAGTTGTTTGTGATTTGCCCGTCCCGTGGGGTTTTCATTCCTGCTTTCTGTCCTCGTCCTTTCTGCTAGGACTTTGAGATGGAGTTCAATCAGTTCAATCGGGTTCAGTTGCAGGCGAGGGTGGACAGTTGATGCGTTTTGATGCCAAGGAGAGGTCCAAAGATGTCCGCATCAGTTGCACGGGATACGGGCTGCATGGGTTGTGGAGACATATGGAGACAAATCTTGCGCGAGAGATCACAAAGGTGTTGAAGTTTTATACAGACTACCATGTGAGAAACACTCGGAGGCTGAGGTTCTTGAAGTTGTTTCTTGTGCAAAACGATGTGGTATGATCTTTTTACATGGTTAGTTCGGTCTCACAGATTTTCAGCCTCGCTTCCCCAGTTGCCAAAGGAACCCGGAACCCACCATGCCACGGGCAGGCCTGATCGCCGGCACCTCCTGGGCACCCCAAGGAATGTGTGACCACCCAAGGAATGTGTGACCATCCCAGGGGTGAGCCGCCCATGGGATTTTCGTTTTCCTATCTATTTGGGCACTGGCTGCAGTCGAAGAGATTTGGAGTCTTGGAAGCATACCCATGAACCAATACCAAAAAGAAATATCTTTGGAACAGGCTGTTCATTCTATGCCATCCGGTTGCGAGATCACCTTTGTTGGATGGATATCATCTTGTGGTCACAACTCGGCTTTACCAATTTAGTTTGAGTTGGGATGAGAATCCATAGGCGGGCTTCAGTTAGTTTGAACGTTTCTCTAAACTTCAAACCTTTTGCTTTCTCCTGGGAAGTGCTGGCCCAGGTGGCCCACTTGTACCACTTGGCATCGGCTCTGTCCGGCAGCCACGGAAGTCAAGGCTGGGCGCGGCCACTGTCCATAGTTTGAGATGTGAGAAGGTCTGAGGTCTCAATGCCAGGACTTTTTCTTCATGGATTCAAACCCACCCATCATTCTGGCCGCTTGGCCTGGACCAAAACTGAATCAGGAGACGTTTCAACATGACCCCGGTGCGAGATTTTTCTGGATGGTGACCCCTAAATTTCCATAAATTTCCTAAAGATATGGTTGGAAATCGGGTTCTTCCCCATATAGCTGGTGACTTTCCTATCATTTCCCATTTTCACTCTCCGAAAGGGATGGAGAGGTGCCTGCAAGAAGAAGTCAGGGAATAAAAACTGGATTTAAAGCAGGGGCACACCACCATCCATCTGTCTCACTCTTGAGGTCCCTCAGAATCTTGCAGTCTTGGTTTGATGTTAAGGATGAGCAATGATCAGATTCGGGCCAGTTGGATTGCATTTTGGGGTCACCTTAGTTTTAGACATAACTGTAAATATTCAGTCTTCACGTTTCAAAAGGGATTCTTAGTGACCTCACTGACCTCACCAAGAGAAATGCAATTATGTCGATATAGGCCGAACCCCCAAAGAAATCCAGACAAGCACAGCAAACATATCCAAACATGACGAAGCTAGGACCTAGGAGCATTGGGATGCATTGAGCAGTATTTCGCATTCCATGTTTTCACACTCACATTTGCCAGCTGGCAGCCGC